TTTTCTCAATATTGTATGTTATTATATCTTTATATATGTTTATTTATTAAAAATTGTTCATAAAAAGTAAGGAACTCTTTTTAGTATATGCAAATTTAATAAAAGTATAAATAATTAGACATAACTTTAGGCAATCTTTGCACATACTAACTACTTTTGGCACAACTGCAACGATGTGAATACAAGAGAGAGAAAGAGAGACAAAAAAAAAAACGGCAATTTTACAAAATTAATCTCATTATTCTTCTATCAGATTTCTTGTGTCATATTAAAAATGTTTCAAAAGTCATGCCTTTTTCGCATGATGTTGTTGTGTAAGGAGTATAAAACTTACGGTATAAACGCGACAAGGAAGCAACCGTTTCAAGGAAATGTAAGACCACACATGGAACAACATGTATTATCGAATACGCATATTTATTTTCAAATCGTAGTTAGTTAATAGTTTGTCTTGCGCGCGTGTGCAATTTCGTCATATATCTTTTTTTTTTATAACGCACGAATTACGTCAAAAACGATTACATCGACTTTTACATCTTACATCTTATATAAGCGTATCGAAGTCAAATTCAATTTTTGCTCTCGCAATTTTATTCTTCGCTGCGATTCGCATTTCGAGATGCAACAATTATGTATGTGTACATAAAATTTTGATATTCATTTAAGTGTCTTTCAACGCCAACCTTGCAAACTTTTTTTTTACACTATGTGTTGTTCGATATTTTTTAATTGGTCGAGTTTTTTGTTTTCTTCGCATTTGAGAGCTACATGTGTATTCACAAGATTATTTTTTTATTTAAATCGTAATTTATATATACGATTTTTTCTTGTGAAAAATGTACGTTTATCTATTTTTGTTTTGAGGGAAGAGGAGGCGTTTGATCTTTTGTGAGAGAATAACACGCCATGTTATTGGTGTAGGAAGCCTAGTGACCGCCTAGTTGTCAGTGGTTCTTTTTTTACATCATTGATGTTCATCTGTTCGCTCTTTCGCCTGAAGCATCAAATCGACCAATCTCGATGTGGGAATCAAAGACTTGTCAGATAGCATGCCGCAGGTTGTAGTGCGCTTTTTTTTTGGCGCAGCTTGATAGGCTCTAAGGCAAAACAAATCCAATCGTGGATTTGTGTTGTGTTTTGCGTTGTCAGTGCAATCTGGTGCGCTCGCCAGAATTACTGACAACTATACGAACACAACCGTATAAAGAAGCAAATCTCATATTTCTCACTTTTTGAAATTTGTGTGATAAGATATTAAAACAGATTTTTATTTTCGGGATTACATAAAAAATATAAAAGTTTCCCTTTTAATTTTTATTTCTCTCTTAATAAAGAAAGAGAAATTAAAGTAAAAATTGTTTCTATATAAATTATATAAATACAAAAGTGTATTGTTTTGTATAGAAAAAAAATACAAACACAAAAGTCACTGAAATTTTCCGACGAGTTAAATAAATCAACTTGATGAGAAAAACTTAATTTTTCAAATATCGCAAAATATTCAACTTTTTAATGAATTTTTTTGTTTATATCGGTCACAAATAAGTTAAGGCTGAAGCATTATCAGTTTGTCAGTCAGAAGACGCATTGTTTTTGGTCGTCATCGCGCGCAGGTCGCGATTTCGATCACGCTTTGTGCGATCAGAATTTCGCGATATATATATATATATAATTTTTTTTACAAATTTCGCAAAAGTAAAAACATCTCGTTTCCCGGACGTCTACGTGTGGTAAGTCCTAGGGCAACTCCGGGAAATCACAAATCACGTACATACACGTCGTTCGAATGTTTCTAGACGACTACCTATCTACTTTTTGTAACTCGGCGTTCTTAAGTTCGCCGAGCTACAAATCGATTAACTAAATTGCACTAATACATTGCACATGTTTTCTGACATTTTCTTTGGCATCTCTACGGATCATTATATGTATATGTAGATATATATATATATATATGTATTTCACATTCTCTTCTGTGAAAAAAAGAGAATCGTCCAACGTGTACAGTAAAAACCCCTCTATTCTTAACCAAACAGGACTAAAGTCCACCTCTCTGTTATTAACAATTTCTCATCCATTCGCGCTTGTATCCAACATGTTTAACAGAATAAAAATGATGCGTGCAATCTACTTTTAATTTTTCGCTTTCTTACTCTACGCACAATCATGTCGTTATGTACAATAACGAGAGATCAAACAACGTAGGAGGGAGGAAGAATGTTAAAAAACAGAATGTTAAAAAAATAAATATAATAATAGAACAAGGAGATTAAGAACGTTACAAACACAGAGATTGTAAGAATAAATGAGATATAGAAGGATTCTGCAATAGTAGACCCGTGCGAACACTCGAGAAGAAACAAGTCTCCCTCGCTTGTTCGAGTTCGAGGGTCTCAAATAGACAACTTGAGAATAACATTGACACAATTGCGCACGTGAACGACTTTTGCTTTTATTACTTACAATCTTTGGAAAATCATTTCAGTCACGACTAATCACATACTGTTCAATTACATATGCGTGCAATTAAATAATTTAAATTGAAGTGCCTACGTTTCTAATTTTTATAACAAATAAATTAATGCGAGATATTTCACAGTTAAATCAACACAAACACATCAATAACTCAAATAACTCAACAAGTTGCGTAAAATATATGTATATGTATAATAATATAGTATAGAAAATCGTAAGGAACTGTTTAAGTCAACTAAAATGCACCTTATTCTATATAAATATGTGTGAGATAACAATATTTAATAACAATAAGCTAGTGAGAAGATGAAACAGAATATTACGGCAAATGCGAGCCAGACACGAGATGTACGTGTGTTGTTTATAAAAACCTAAAAACATTTCGATCCCTTTATTTGGATCTTCTTCAGTATACAAACAACAAATCCACAATTGACTTCTCAAAAATGACGGACCGACCCAGTAAGGTCTCGCAGCGTGAGTGAAGGGCTTGCGAGCATAGAAATCCCGAGTTAAACACCTTAGAATTTTTTCCGAACCGGTTTCTTTCAATCAAGTTGATTAATTGAAAAACAAGTTAAATCGGGTCTCCAGTAATTAATTCGACTTAAATCTTCGAATTAATCCCCTCTTAAAAAACGGTCTTAGTCACGTCAACTTGAGCCCGACACAGATGGGAATGCCCACTATGAAAGAACGGCCGTGTACTTCTTAGTAGAGTACTACTGCACGATATAGAGAAAAAAAATGAAGTAAACGAACAGACAAAGGACAGGAATAACAAGCATTGGGAAAGGAAAAGTAGATTTTCACAGACATAGAGAAATCCGACAATAGTGTTCGATCAACCGAAAGAGTTAAGCATCATTTTTGATAAGTAAATTGTCGGTTAAACGCGTTAATGACACTGAGAGATGGCAATACAATTTATTAACTTGTAGTGTGAATTCGATGTTTTACTTAAGAGCGACGGAATTATACTTTACAATTATGCTGTGGTCAATCTGGTTATAATTGTTATTTCAATTTGTCATTGGTAAGATCCACTTGTTTGATTCGCGTGTCTTTGAATTGTTTTGTACGCGTTGTCAATTTTATTTTCTTTTGTTTTACAGTACAATTTGTATACTGAAAAAGATCCAAAAATAAAGAAATCGAAACGTTTGGTTTTATATTCAATAAATAACACACGTACATCTTGCGGCTCGCATCCGCCGTAATATTCTGTTTCAATATTTAATAAATTTTTTGCAAGAATAAGAAAACTTAAAATATAAGTGATATAACAAAAAAAAATTCGAAAGATATTGATATGCTCAATTCATTGTAATGAGTTAATCAACGTTTCGAGAGAGAAACGAAGACTTATTTGGTCATAATAAATATTGAAATCATGCCGCACAATAAGATCTTTGATTTATATTCGAGAGTAAGATTATAATCCTCTTTGTTCGCTTCTTGCCAGCTCCGAGTACTCGCACAGTCCTACCGAGAAACAATGAACGACACAATGTTTGTTGTCATTCATTACTCTCATTCATTCATTCGCTCATTTATATTGACTACCTCGATCTATAATATATGTATATTACTAACTAATTTTCTTCGTCGTCGAATATATATCGGATACATCGACGTCACGCATTTTCCCTCTGCGAGAATTTCTGTCAGATCGATCTGCCGGTAAATATATTGAGACGCGCACAGATCATAGCTTATATACATACGTTATTATTTATTACACAACACATGCATATAGTGTGATAAATATCTATGTAATAAATAATTAGTCATTTCTTTTCTCGTTTAAATGACGTAATCACGCAAATGATAATAAATAAAAACTGTGCGTTTTAACTTTGTTTCTCGATTTCGTTTTCGGATGCCGTTAATCTATATCGATCGGCCGATAGATAATAAAAACGTGATCTCAGATAAAGATCACTGGACTAAACAAATCGACCTCGACGCGTGATGATAATATAGAAACAGATTTAGAAATAGTTTTTCTTTTCTTTTTTAAATCGGAAATGAATGCATCGATTACGCGCGTTTGTTAATTATGTTCGATTGTATTTCCTTCTTTGTGTTCCGCTGCGTTTCCGTGGAAACGTACGTGTTTCGGCAAAATTTAAGTAGACACGAATACGAATGTGCCCGCAACAAAGAATTAAATCGCTCCATGATTATTCGAGAACTACCGCGATTTCAATATTCATACGCTTTGAAGAACTCTCGACGAGCCTTCTGATCAATATACGAGCGAACGTGTTCCTACGATGTATACGACGAACTTTATTGTCGAATGAAACAGCTTGTTTCTTCTTTCAAACAAATCTTTGATTAGACACGATCTTTTTCAATTATTAGACTAATTACATTAAGACGTTTTATTATTTTTTTCATATAAATTCGCGATATGAAATATTTATTTATTTAATTAAAAAAGTGTTAAAATAATTAAAAAGAAAGATAATATATCTATATATATTTATATTATATATAGATACATATATAAATATATAAATATATAAATATATATGTATATATATAATACACTTATGGATCATTAATATCCAGTAATTAATTTACGGCTACATATCGCTATGTATCAATTATAGTAGTCACATTACCTGTAGATGATACGCTATAGCATCTTTCTCTCTTTCTCTCCCCTAAGGTAATATATAAGTAGAAGATAAATGCTGCCGCATTCTTTCTTGATTCTTGTATCTAATTAAAAAATAGATAGGTGTACTGAGGAATTATCATATTATTTTAAAATTTCATTTTTCGAGACTATGTGATTACGTCATTCAGCGTTACCGGTGAGAAACTGCGGGGAAAATGCGTGGTAACATACAGCCTTTGGATTTTGGTCTTGTAGAAATTCCGTCTTTTGATAGCGACGGAAGTATAAGGTAAGAAAACTGGAGTTAGGAAGAGAAAAGACAGAATTCTAAGAAAAATAGAATAACCAATAGAGGACACGTTTATGGTGACTGCTGTGAGACGGTGTTGAAGTAACTGGCCCTTTGATTACGATACTGGGAAGCCACGACAGCCTGAGGATTCGGGATGTGTCGGACACCAAGATTGGGCTTGATTTTCATGCCGAAGCCGGAGATACGGTGATGCGGCTGCGGTATGCGCAAGGCGACCTTGTGGCCGGTAGTAAGAGTGTTCGCGGATGTAAGCGATTCCATCATCGAATTCTTTTCGATCAGGCAGCCGCTTAGACGAGATACCGCGGCTTCTGAGAGAGTTTTCAGATTCGATTCTTGATGTCCTTTACGCTGCTGATCTTGTTCCTTGAACTTGCGGAAGAAGCCGCTAGTAGCGCCAACTGTAGGTCGCGCTGGTTTTGACAATGGCATCGAGGATAAAGGCGAGGATGAAGAAGAGGATGGAGAGGAAGAGGACGAGGAAGAAGAGGATGAGGAAGATGAGTACATAGGTAGTCCGTCGCTTGATAATGTGGCAGACAGATCGAGGACATTGTCGTTGATGGTGCCGCCGCTGCTGAGGTCCAACGGAGTCTCGTGTTTGGAAGTCGTGCTCGACGCCAGCATGCTAGTGGTCGTGGCAAAACCGGAGAGTTTCGCGACGTGCAGCGGTGCTAATGGCGGCGGTTCTTTTTTCTTTGCAGAAGGTGTACTGACAGTTGACGCAGGGACGGAAGTGGAAATGGGAACGGAAGTGGACACGGGAACGGAAGAGGAAACAGAAACGGAAGAGGAAACAGGAACGGAAGTGGAAATAGAAGTGGAAGTAGAAACAGGAACAGAAATGGAACTTGTCACTGGGGTATTCAATATGGACGCGATCCGTTCCTGTTTGGTTTTCGACATGATGCTCTTGAGTGCATCGCGCATTTGCTTCTCCGCCAGCAAACTCCGCACGCGATTCGCCTTACTTACGCGCAACTGCTTCTCTAATTTCTCGCGGTCCAAATTATTCGCTTTTTCGTTGTCACTTTGGGCCTGATGCTTCGCCATTTTGTCAGCGTTTATATCTTTAATGGACACCAGACCTAATCGTCGCAGGATCTCCTCTTTTGGTCTTTCCGAATCTTTTTTCAATTTTTCTAGATTCTTTTTTTCTTTCTTCGATATCTCCGGATCTTTCTTCAGTGTTTTCGGCTTATCGTCTTTTTTCGATGATTTAGTGGGCTCCGGTTTTTCTACAATAGTCTCTTGGATAGGTTCCTCGATGATCACCTCAGTAGAATCCTTTATAGTTTCCTTTTCTGTAACGTTCTCACTCTGATCGCTAATATTTTGTGCAATATGCACAATTTCATCAGGAATGCTATCGATTATGTCCTCGATCGTCTCGTCTTCGGTGTATTCTCTGGATTCAATTTCTTCTCGAACCGCCAGGCCTGCCAATCGCTGCTGCGCGATTGCTTTGATTTTTTCTCGTCTGACCGCTCTCAACTGCATCAATTTCTCCTTTCGCACCTGATCGTTTACGCTACCACCCCCTGAAGTGATCCTCGGTGGACACGGCGTTAGACGGACTTTGAGTTTCAACAGGTCTTCGCGAGGCATCGTCGTGATCTCCGCGATCACTCGTTTTCTTCGCCGTTTGCGCTCCTTTCGGTGTTCTAATCTCGTCAGATCGTTGCTCTTCGTGCTCTCGGCCGACTGATGATGACTGTTCGTCGAAAGTCCAGCGGCTGAGGGATCGGGAGTTCGCATAACGGGCGTCACTTCGCAGCGCGGTTTCTTTGTTTCGAGAACACGAGGAGGATCTGCATTGCGAGCTTCCGCTTCCGGTTCGCGAACGGCAGGTGGTTTGGGACTTGGCGGAGGAGTAGGTGGTCTTTGTATATTCTCGATCGTTCCAGATCTGTCCTTCGTTGCGTCATCTTTATACGGATGAATTTTTGAGGTCGAGATCGTCTCCTTCTTTTGCAACACTCTGTACAATAGTCTCATTGGCGCTTCCTGTAACAGAGTCATTTGCGCTGCCATTGATAATACTGCCGAGCCGCAGCGCTCGGCTTAAAAAAAAAAAAAAAAAAAAAAATGAAGGAAACAAATTTTTTTACCTTAGATTTTTTCAGAATCTTTTTTTAGGGAAGTAAGTGATTCCAAATAATGGTTTAACACCGCGAAGTCTTTAGAAATTCTAGTCAGATAAATTTCTTACAGTAGAGTCTCTCTTGCCAAAAATTTGGCTTAAAAACATTATATAAAGATTTGTAGAAAAAAACTTTTTAGAGACAAAGAATGATTAAACTCACCCTCTTCCATCGAAATATACAAGCAATGTCCAGAAGTGTCCAGGAGAGATCGAGAGGACACGCACTATCTTCTTCAGCGGGGTTCTGCGTGTCGTCTTGCTGGTACATAATTTCTATCGTGGTATTATTATTAACACCGTTGACGACATTCGCTTCTTCCCATCCCCTCTTTAGCATCAGCAATCTCACCAGATGACGCACCGTCACAGCGGCCGGACACTTGAAGTATCGCGTGTTCTTACAAGCCTCCCGTAACACCTCCTCGCTCTTCGACGAGCCGCGTTCTTCTTTCGGCGGCTCTTCCTCCGTCTCCACCTCCTGCATGCTCAGACTGACGAAATCGTCAAGGGTGAAGTCGAGGGCGCCGACAGGAGGCGCCAGAGGCGGACATTGCGGGTTTACTACGCGAAAGTGACGTCTGCGTTCGAGTTCCGATCGGAAGAGACCGGGTACCGCGAGATACACTACCCGTTGTAGCCGCGGATCCGGAAGAAGCGGCGGTGACGCCGCCACGTTGCACACAGGACATGCGCGGGCACCGTTGCTCAAACGTCGGACAATGCAACCTCTGCAAACTGACCCGCATCCACCACGTGAGGAAACAGAGCAACAAACGCAGCGCACCGATCGAAATCGTACGCCGAAATAAAATAAAATAAATTGATTATCACGGTAAGATTAATTAAGTAAATTTTATACGAGAATTAGATTTATCACAAAAACAAAGTTCACACAACCTCTTTGATTTTAAAGCGAATTAAATATAAAGAAAGATACGTATTATGATGTGGAAGTTTGTCGTTATCACAACAAATTATAAATTTATCTTCGCATGTAAAACAAGTTGACGTATCGAAAACAAAAGAATCTCGAAGAAAAAAAACGTGTTCAAGTCTTGCTCTTAATACACATTATGTCTCAATAAATTAAGTGTTTTACAAGAGCAATTATCGATGCAAAATGATAATCATAAGTAAAATACTAACAAGAGTGTAAACATTCCACAAGAGTTGTAGCATCTATAAGATATCCTCTGCACAGGGGGCATACGATATGTTCGTGCAAGTCTTTGACCAACGGCCTCTCCATCTCATTTGTCTCCATGTCGCTGGCTGGTGCTGAAACAGCTGTTGGCAATTGATTGTTAATTATCACATACAATACGACACTGCTATGTATATGTACGAGAAATTAATGTGCGCTCGGTACTTTTTTTTTTTGTATATTATTTCTCTTCACTTCTAATCTTTGCTTTTATTTAAATACGAATGTCGTTGCGCAATTTCTTTTATGAACAAATTCTACATATAGATACGTATGTTTAAGTAGTTGAATTTTTCGCGCCAACACCGAAAACACGATGTTAATAAGATATCTAATGCAAGCAAAATTCGCGGATTTCATTTATTTCCTGTGTGTACAACGCAGTTCCTCACGCGAGCAGCAACTCCGTTTCATCTATATCGTGTCTGTTATCCCACTACCGACTGTTACTCACACGCTAATCGCACGTCACTTCTGCATTCGGCTGCAGTGAATATCGGAACGCAGTCTTTGTATGCGCAGTTATATCGTTTTACGCAAGACTCTTGCCAGAGAACAGAAGGACACAGAGAAAGCGTGAGAAAACGAGTTTACGGGTCCTGATTATATATTTGTGAGAATATAGGAACTGTGCTGTATTAGCTAAATATATCTGCTTCTTTTTTAAATGTACAGTCGAACCTCGATAATTCGAATCTCAAGGGAAGAGTTAAAATCTTCGAGTTGTAGAGGTTTTGACTTATCCAAGTTCTTTTTTTCCTTTTTGCGAAGCGAAAATGAACAAAATTTTCGTCTTATAGAGGTTTTCGAGTTATAGAGGTTCGAGTTATCGAGGTTTGACTGTATAAAAAATAGTAACATATACGTGTTTCTCTTTGTAAATATTTAGTAAAAAAACTATAAATAATACACACATGTTAAAAAGTTAACGCAGAAAGAGAAAGAACAAACAACAACTTCCGAAACATCTTTTGAAATATGAAAACTGAAACTTATAGTAGCTTATAGTAGTCGGTTCCAGTTTGTAGCCCTAAACGGATTCATACGGTCCTGACTTTTCTTTCGCACAATCTTTCAATGTCTCTTCGGAGCATAGAAAATATATTATATCGAATGACACCCGAACTACACAATGACAGTCAGCTTTTTTCCTTCTTATTGTTCCTAAATGTGCGTGTCAGGTTCGGGCTTAGGTTAGGTTAGGTTAGGTTCAGACTTTTTTTTTAGTCGCTTTCCCTGAAAGAGTCCCAAAGTTTTCTAATTTCACAATATATGCAATCTTGTGACAACGTGACGTGAAACTATATAGACAAATAAGTGCCAAAAAAAAAAGAAAAGAAAAAAAAAAAACGACGCGTAAAATAAAGTACCACGTGTTACATAAACACAAAAAAGAAATAAAATTAAAAACAAGTAAAAACTGCGTGTTAATCTAAAATTGTGAGGCAAAGTGCGTGCTTCAGCGATAAGACGAGGGAAGAAAAATGTGAGAGTATAAATAGAAGATAAAATTTTTTCAACACGTATAAGTTTGGCAAAAGCACATAGGCATTTAAGGAGAAAAGATTAGATACGATATGTGTTGGAATAATTATTACAATTTGTATATACGGTTCACGCATGCACGCACGCGCAAGGATGACCACGCGCTAGCCTTATCGGTAGCGCAAGTCTGCACACATATGACGCGCGCTGCGTATATCAAAGCGCGCATACCTATACGTATCCAGAAACGCGATGCACTGCTATTACATATGTACAACGCCGCGTCGACGCTCGCGAGCGACCGCATCATGCGGTCCGCATGGCATATGATTTCCATGTGCATCGCGGCACACAATACTAATATATACATATACACATATACACACATACACACATATATACATACGTACCTATTAAGTGAGGAGCGCACAGATCCCGAGGGGAAAGCGTGTTCGTGTGGCCGGCGCTTTAAGGTCTATCTGTTAAAGGGGATGGTATCTCTACTTTTCTTCACTTATCGCGCATCCGAGAGTCGGAACTATCGAGTCGGTGAAGCAACTGATTTTTGGCGTCAATATTTCGGCACACGCACGAGAACTACTACGGACGTAAAATGCGTGTGGCCGTGTGCAAATTCTCGTGCATTCCATTCGGCAGGGAAATGTCAGAGAACAGTTAATGATCGTGAAACATAAAAGAACGTCAAAGTAGAGGTACAGGTTTTGGAAACGAGTCGACCAATCACGATCGAGTTCGGCGTCAGTCTAGCTCAGTAACGTGCAATTGGCTAACATTTGTTTTTTTTTTTTTAACTTCGAGTATAGACAAATCGATACTTCAAAACCGTCGATGCCACGGCCGATATTCGTAGTTCGATCTTATGTATTTACGACTGTCTTAAGTTTATCTTCACAAATCTGATTAGTCAATCGAAAATGCTACGAATGACATGAAATTTGGACATCATGTTTCTCGTCATATCACACGTTTGCAGTTAAAATTTTACGTTTTTTGCCCGTAATATTTTTCAGATATTCAATAATAAAACTCCAACTTTTATACATGTATTCTTATGACACAATGACAATACATATGTGACGACTATTCATCGTAATGTTTTAAACAATGCCACCGTCTGAATAGAAAAACTTCTTGAACTTATGAACTTTATATGCTAGGAATGTATGCGTCGTTCAAAGAATGAAGAGCGTCTTTTTTTTTTTGTAATAATCAATAACAGATACAAAAAATAATTAAAAATTAAATATTAGTAAACAATATTGTTTACTAATATAAAGTAATATAAATTTTCACTGAGTAAAATAATAAAATAATAAATAATAAAATAATAAAGTAATATAAATTTTAATATAAATTTTCACTGAGTAAAATAATAAAACGTCGCTTAAAATCAAACTTATTTGACTCAATCAGCTGTTAGCACTTACATTGGACCATATGTTACAAATGCTCTGTAAAAACTCTGTAAAAACAGCGACATATTGTTACATCGTTAATGATTTATAATTATAATTAATATAAGAATTACCGATATCATTAATATGATAAACAACACAAAAATATTTAAAAAGAATAGTTTTTTTGCGCATGCACACACACACACACACACACACACACACACACCTATTACACGGAAATATTAAATATTTTTTTAAAACCGTAAAATATATATTATCTTATCAGACAGAAGTTTTTCTTTCGTGGATTGACAACACGTCTTTTAACAATAGACTTTCTTCCTTACTCCGCACCTCTGGCGAATCGTGAATAGACCTTCTTAAGATGCTGTATGGACCCCGTTTTTTCTTCTTGGTTACACAAAACATCTCAAGATGATCTTAAATATAAGATCCGACTATATAAATACCGTCTTACGTGTGGCTCTACTAATGACTCAGTTTTACATATTTCTTATGTTGAATTCTTGCGATAAAAAATAAGATTAATTTCTGAATCAACTTCTGAAAAATTAAATATAATTTACCGTTAACGTTTAAATATATTTCAACGTCAATAATAATCGTTAACTAACAATTCAAAGTTCTTTTTTAAATGTATATATCTTTTATGCGAGTTGGAAAAATGTACGTTTGTAAAATATGTCTATGTATATGCACGGATGGTTACCCATAATTCTCAGGAAGTAGTTTTGAAAAAAGTATCCGGCATTTACAAACGGTCTCTTATAAATAGCTTCCCTGTTTTCCCGCCATAAAGAGATCCCGTACTTAAAAAACTGGAAGTTGACCACCACCTGTGCCTTTTGGCACGGCGATGTTACAGACACAACAAATTCATGCAAGAGCCATTTCGGTCTGTGAATGATCCGCCAAGGTCGAATACACGAGAGAAGGGGACGAACACCTCTTCATTCGATTCTGAGAGAGAGAGAGAGCGCACAGGCGCCAAGATGTTCGCATATACCATGAGTCGTCGGAAATCGAGTCACGTGTCATCGTTCGCGTTGGATAAACAAACTCGCGAAGACGAGCGAATTCAGATCGATCCCGACGTTACTTTGCACCAGAAGAACTCAAAAAAAGATTTTCTCAAAACATGTCAATTATTCAAATTTATGGTGATAAAGTAATTTCTAATTTATATTGAACAAATTTCTCTATTTATGTTATGAAAAATTTGTGTAATTTACTTATAAAATATAGAATGTATAGCTGTAATCGATTGCGCAACAACAGAAATGTATGTAAATAATTCAGAAACATAAAGCGGAAATGCATGACACTGCACATGCGACACTTTATCTACCGGGTGTCCTAAAACTCTAGTTCTGTTTTGTCGAACAGACGCGCAAATATCGTGAATGAAAATAATTATATAAATGAATCATACCTATTTCTAAAAGATTAATTGTATAAAACTGGCTCTCTCTCTCTTTCTCTATCTATCTATCTATCTACTTATAATAATTCCTAGATATACAACATAAAAATTGTTTGTTTACATTTTCGCAACGTAATTTATACTAAGTGCAAAAATAATATTATAGATTTATTTATAGTGATTATTATCAAGTAATGTCCTATTGTCTTTTTAATTATTTTTCGTTGTATTTGGTGAAATAAACAAATCATTTTTAATAAAATCATTTGATCTAATTTTCCATTTTAAAATCTATCAAAACTTTTTCATTCAATATATGTGTATCGATATGTTTGTTTGTTATATTTCAATATTTATGTTAAAAACAAAATAACTTTCTCAGTTCTTTTTTATTTTTTGTCACATAAATGTGTATTATATTATAGCAAAATAATATCATAAGTGTAAAATCATCATATTATATTTATATTATAAAGATACATTTAATAGATATATAATTGTAATTTTTGTGCGGTGTGACATAATTATATACATATTATTTTTCATGCTATTTTCATATTCTAAAAGATTCCCAATTGATTGGCACGCATAACACGACAGAAAGCGCTTTATCAGTATCGTCAAGATTTAAATGTGACGTTGTGGAGGTTCGAGGTCACGCGAGCGTGTCTTCTCTCTCTCTCTCTTTCTCAGGTGGGAGATGCCTTTTATTCGGGCATGGACTATCGTGGCCCCCTACTACCGTTATGAAGAAGCAGCACGTTACAGTAGGTACCACCACACGAGTATGTGTACGTCGCAAGCACTGCGCGTCGTACACATACACCCTAACATCAAACCTGAGCTGCGCGTCGTGTCATGCCGATTCACGCCACGTAACATTTAACACCGAGAAAGAGAAAGAGAGACAGAAAAAGAGAGACAGAGAGGGAGAGAGTAGCATGCAAAAACAACAGCAGCTTACCGGCAGCAGCGTGGCCGAGAAGATCGTCGCCGTCGTTGTCGTTCCCGGCGATGGAACGTAGCGGCGGACGTGGCAACGACGGTGCAACGGCGGTGGCGGTGTCGGCAGCGGTGGTGGTGACCGCGCCGAGGAGGTGGCAACGCTGCTGGTCCGTTCGTCGCCGTGCAACGGCGCCCCGGCCCCGGCCTCGGCCCCGGCCCCGGGGCGTCCGATAGCGCTCGTCGCTCGTAATCGTCGCTCCTGGTATAGCTCTCCTTCCTGCCGTGCGCGACGTGCGCGAGTCGAATCCTCTAGACAGAAAGGCGACGCGTGCCGAGAACAGCCACGTAGCATCACGTCCCCGCATTGACGACTGTCATGGCTACTATTCAACGAATCTCTCCCTCTCTCTCTCTCTCTGTATATGTATATGTATATGTGTGTATATATATATATATATATATATATATATATATATTATATATGTATGTATGTATGTATGTATGCGTGTCACGCACTAATGTCAACTACTGACTGGCCGATCGACGCGCGCGTTTCTCGTCTTGCTCCGAACACCGTCGTGGTAGCTCTCCGTGTGTTCTTTGTCACGCTAGTCACTTCGCTCACATTCGTCTAGTCAGCCGTCGATCGACCGGCACAGGCTGAGCCGAAGAGAGCGCGCGCGCGCGCACTGTCGTTTCCCCTCTCGAGTTTCCCACCCCGCCTGTCCCTCTGTCCCTACCTTCGCATCGCGAGAGACCGTCGCGCCGCGTTGTAACATTACCGTTACTGCTCCGACCGACGTATAAATCCTCGTAAAAGTACAAGTTGTTACGAATTACGCGCGATTGACAAATATTGAGAGAATGAGAGTCGAGGATGATATAAAGATCAGGAGAGAGAAACAAAAAGAGAAAAAAAAGGAACAAGCGCGCGAACCTGCGCGCGGTTGCGCTTGAACGACGGCGACAGTCGTCGCGACGTGTTTCGATAGCCGTGCGATTAAAACCGAACGCGCACCACACGGGAAGAGAAGGCGCTTTTGTATCGACCCCGCCTAAACCCCGCCTCGTTGTGGCGGACTTGCACGAGCGACGCCGAGCGTCGACGGGCGTCGGCAAGCTCGTCGGCGTCCGTCGGCGCTTCTTGTATACATAACACCGTCATCCCGCGCTCCCTATCTCCGTTCCTTTCTCTCGTTTTCTGTTTTCTTCCCTTTCCGGACAAACCCCTCGCAGCGGCCCGTGGTCTACTACATTTGTCTAATTTCCTGTTCTACCGATTCACGTCTTGTTTTTCATGCATCATTAATTGATCGAACGACAAATCCATTTCCTTCGAACAACTTCATCGGTCACGATATTCTCGCGTTTTCGGAGAGATTTTCGATTCACAGATTCTCTCTAGATATTTAATGTTATTCCTTAACAATCTTAAGAGAACCGTTTATGTAAAAATATAACAAACTTCCCAATTGTTTGTAGATTAATTCAAATTACCGATAGAGACAAGTGATTTTCTTTCGTGTATACTTTTTTTTTGTAACAGCGCGCTTTCTTTTACTTGTACGATCACGGACGTAAAAATAATGCGGTAAAAAAAATTCCTGACAATTTCACGAGCTTCATAAAACAAGGATTAACAAACGAAAATTATATGCTCGATCTTTATACAATTCATATTGTTCGATAGTACTACCGACGAATCAATGTGTAGTAGCAATATTGTACATACAAGACATATTTGTTATTACCGACAATATTGACAATCCATATATGTGCTATAGGAGATTTTAATACTGTTCAATAATAACGGACAAGGCAATCTAATAGGTAAACGCAATAGCGTTGTAGCTAATGACTCATTCACGAGCATTTACGTAACTCATTTCGAGACCTTTTTAATCAATATGAATAGCGATCAAAGCTCATCGAGCTGGAAAATATTTTCAGTTTCCCGCAATACTTCGGCGTGCGCATACGCGCGCTCGCGCATGTATATGTGTGTGAATTCATTGCGCGTGTTAATATGTGACAATTTTATATCTTTCTCATTAACGCGCATAATTAAATTATTACAACATGTAATATTAATTGCGCGGTGGAAAACGCGAACACGTTATCGAAATCAGAACACGTTGTTTAAAATGACGAATATAATTTCCATATTTTTGATATCATTAATGTGCAATGCAAAACTGCTGATTATGAATGTTTTTTTGATGATATATATCTCTCTCTTATATTTATTTAATCACTTCAGCAAAATATATCTCTCTCTTATAGCTTATCTTTTTTAATATAAGTTTTCTGCTCGCACAAAAACAAATTCGTCACTCAGTCATTCTTGTTTCCATGTGATGTGAGATCCAACGAGAGAGATCGACAAGGTTTCGGACAATGTTTCTCTCGAACAAGATCTTACAATGTTATTGTCAGTTATTTTGTAAAAAAATATAAAGTCGCGATACAAGAGAACAGCAGAATTGTGGAATGCAAATAATGTTGAACGTGCGTGATGAAAAATTGAGTAACAGTTTATGACATTTATGTGATATAACAGTCAATATTACATATACAATATACGACGCAGTAATATGATGTGCGTCGCGCACATAATTATAATAGAAAACAGCCGCGCGAACAATAAAAACATGTTGCTTGCGGCAAACAAGTGTAGAACAGATATTCGCAATGCAACAGATATTTATAGTTATTATTTGAGACTTTTTGTATAGACACGGAGCAACAGTATTTTAAAAGTTAGAAAATACGGCCCCGAAGTACGACACAAAATTAAAATTAAAATATAGACCTTTCAGTATTTTAAAGTAAAAATACGTCAACAATGTATATAGCGTGTATGCATAATGTGTGCATACTTTTATATGCACACTTTTATATGCCATATGCAGGTGTGCGTTTTTTTATATCCTTATCTCAAAATAATTTTACAAAAGAGAATCGCGTTGCAATTTTGTAACTGTCGATTAACAAGTGCCGAGTAAATAATATTGATGAAAAAAAAAAATTCGACTTATTTATTTATTATAGATTTATTTATTATACTTAATACTTTGACATCTTGTCGTTATACGATATGAGAAAATGACCTTGACCTTGATGGTGAAGAGTATTTCTGAACAATATGCGCTCTTTGAAAACAGTCTGTCTTCTTCTGAGATTACGATTTGAACTATATTACCAAAGTACATATGCTAATTTATGTGAACTATGTTGAGAAATCATATACATACAATAAGAAAAATAGTATAGCGTTACCTCGACCATGGCCTTTGTCATACGACTTTAATATGTATTATTAATATCTAATAGTGATATAATGAACAAAGAAGATACATACCTACAGCCATAAACGCGAGAAGCGATGAAATGAGAAGTGTAGATTAAGTTGCTGATCGATCGCTCGCGATAGCGTCGCATCATTCCATCGAGATTGCCAGTTGCCAGCCGACTCGACGGTCGCGCGCTCGCGCACCACGCTCCGCGGGCGGTCGCGACTCTGACCTATGGGCAACCAGATAGGCGTGACCGAAGCCGGCAAAATGGCGAAAGACTCCGCGCGTCGGATACGCCCACTTGGCTGCGCGCAGCTGCAGCTCCGCCCTTTCGCTGCGCGAACGTCACGGTTCAGCTGCATGCACGCAGCGTCTTACGGCATCTCTGATAAAAAAACATCCATCGACATTATTGCACAGTGGCGATGTTGAAATAATTTTATGTCAAGATCGAAAATTTAGAAACTGTGTGGTGAACCGCGTGTTAAATATATCAGTTCACTTAAAACAGAGTTTTTTTTTTCATGCGACATGGCGATACAGGGCGCTATTTATAGTGGTACATCTTATATTTAAGATTGGTCTTATTTATGTGCACGTATGCACTATATATAAGAATATACACGTATACAGTGAAATGATCTTATTTCTCGAGAAACGAGACTGTGAATACCGCCCATAGTATCCTGATATGTAGGAATCTGACATGCAATATCACACGTTGCTTTCGATGGGAAAAGCTATCAGAAAAAGAGAGAGGAAAATTTATGCTGTGTTATAACGTGTTGTGAAACTAAACAGTTTTTAACAGATTAGAAAAAAAAGAGGGAACAATAATTTTGAAAACACAATATTTTGATAAAATCTATTGCCACGAAATAAAATTACTCGATAGCAAATTTTGCGAACAAATATTCGTCATGAGATGTGGCTATATTAAATGAAACATATCGATCTAAGAGATATATATTAGTCATTTTTTAATATAAATCGGAGTAAAACAATAATCAGATATTACTGCTTTCTTTTGATTTACGGAATAAATTTAAATTAATTACCAACGGAATATTAAAGATAACTATTTTATAAACGCGTGTTATATCAGACGCATCATAATGACGTTTAATGTAATTCCTCTTCCTTTCAAACAAACAACCCACACAGAACAAAAATCCCATTAGACGTCTATTAGACGTCGACAGCTCCATGCGGCATCTAATAGATGTCTAATGGATGTCTGAATGGGTGGATGTGTGGGAATATACATTAGATATCTAATCTAATGTATATTCCCACACAGACATCCACCCATTCACTTGGAGCATTTATATCAACAAATTTTTTTTACATCGACTTTACACTTACGGCCGTAATAAAAACGCTATGAGCAGGAACATTAATAGCTTTACACATAAAATTGCACATTTCATTGTTAAGATGTTAATTAAGGCGGCATTGTTGATGCAACTTCATATGTAAAGGTAAATTACACAACTTATCTAAATTTGTTGATATAAATGCTCCAAGTTCGGAACGTTTTCGTAAACGGAGATTGAGGATCGCTCATGTACCTCGCACAGAGAATTTCTTGCGAACCGAACGTTACCGAGTCCGACCGAAATGGATCGATGTTTCCCTTGTTCCTTCTCGTCTTTTCTTCATTCAGAATACTCTACTCCCAAGTGACGACTTTTGCTTTATCAGCTAGTGTTTCATAATAGATCAGTTTGTATGCGGTATTTATGAACGATCTTACGTGTAAAATCGTCTTATTCGTCGCTTTACATATGCACGCGCATAGATACGCACAAATAAAGACGAGCTTGTTTCGTAAAAAACGACGCGCTCCAGTCTATACTATCGGCGACATCTACACTTTTATTCGTGAACTATTTTACTCCAAAATATGTGCACATCATAGATAATTTTGCATGCACACATAGAATTCTAGATTTTTGTATTAGAAAGCTATAAAACTCGTCAGATTATCGAAATGTGCAGACACACGTACGTATTTATGTTACATAATTGCGATATTATTAATTAGTAAATATAAAGTTTTTTGTGGCTTTCTCCGGGCTCCAACAATTCGCCCATACATCATTCTGTAATTGACTATGTATATTTCAAGTTTCAAAAACCTCTATTTGTCAAGTTTTACAAAACTTACAAGTTTAGTTTAGGGTAGAATCATCGTGTTGTCGCTGGGTATTAATTATATTGATACTGCTGATAATTTATGCGATTTTTTAATGAAGGTCTTGATATAGTTCGCTTTTCATCCGATATACGCGGTCTCTGCGTATCGACAGAAAGGGAAAAATTCTAAAGAAGTTCTAATTCTATTGTTAGGCGAACTTAAACTCTCGAGACCTTCAGGCTCGCTCTTGTACTAAAGCCGCGAGACCATGGACTGGTCAATCAATAAATGTGTACTAGCAATAATAATTTTTTTTCAATTACAAAATTATTACATATTCTAAGAAAAATATTATAACAATGCAAAATTAAATGTTTAAAATAAAATTACAATGGAATTGAGGTATGGAAAGGCGCGATATTTTGTTAAGAAAATTTAATTTTTCATAAATGTATTTTACAAAGTGTTTATTTTTAATAGCTATTACGTTGCGTTTTTCGTTACACAACGAATATGTTAATTATTAGAGAGGATAATTTAACAATACATCCTGTCGCGCTAATTCGAGCAGCATAGGATCGTCGAAGAATTTGTTGATGGAAACGTCTTCGGAGAGACCCTTTCGTCTTCGAGTCTTCAACATAAATTCTCTGGCTAAGTGAGTAGCCGGTTGTGGCTCCAACGGTCGGATGGTAATACTTTTGTCGAGCGGATCTCCGGGCACGATCTGCCAATGATGAAACTCGGACAGGCAGAACGCTTGTCCTTGAGTGTGGGTTCGTAGATCTGTTTCGAAGCCAAAACTATCGATCGCCGGTATAAAGGCCTTGATCGTGTATAAAGGACTGCCTGGCACCGGCGCGTCTTGCGTTACGTGACCTCGCCGTTTCGCCAGAACAGTGTAAACGGCGGATACGCAGTCCGCGGGTGCTTGCACCTCGACGAATAAATACGGTTCCATCAACCGTGGGGTTGCCATGAGAAAAGCGGAATACGCGACACGCCGAGCAGTTGGAATGATCTGACCACCTGGAAATATAAAAGTTGAAAACATGCGAAAATTATAAAATTTTTTGCGCATCAAATATTTGTAGTTAATTTTCTATAAGTTATAATAAAAAAATTAATTACCTCCTCGATGCAACGGTTCTTGCGCGATGACTGCGTCGAGGATCTTGAATTTGACATTTCGTATAGGTTCTTCGCATAACGGTCCTTCGCGAGTTCCCCACTGAAAGCCTTGAACGATAGCATCGCGCGCGCTGTTCAACAATGTTTTATCTACTTCAGAAGGCAAAGTGTCATCCACCAAAATATTTGGTCCCGTGGAGTCCGGACCGAACGCCCATATGCTTCGCGCTGCTAGCAAATCCCAATCGTACTTGGTTTGGAAAAATTCTCCTAATCTCTTTCTGTAAAAAATTTAACACGTATCAAAAGTAGTAAAACCTAACCTAACCTAACTAAGTGAATAATTGATAACTTAACAAGTTTCAATATCTGATTACTTACTTATTCCAAGTAATGCGGACATGTTCAGCCTCTATATCTTCGGCAAGACCCTTTTCTAGCGGCTCTGCTATCATCGTCAACTTGTTTCGTTTATTCGGCGTCTCGGCGAAACATTTGAGAGAGCTCGTTTCCACTACGGTCTCCGCGAAAGCGACAACCGGGTCGGCGACCTTTATGTCAATTTCTGAATACATACGCCGAAGGTCGTGCATGGCACAATCGAGATACAGCTCACCAGTTCCCAACACGACGTGTTCGCCGCTCTCCTCCACTTTCGTGCCCAGCAAAGGATAGCTCTTGTTCACTTTTCGTAGACCGTCCAACATTTTGGGCAGTTCAGAAGGATTAACAGGCTCTACGGCGATTTTGATGACGCTCTGCGTGTTAAACTTTAACGGGCGGAAGATATGTAGCTCCTCTGTATTATTGAGGTCTGTGATGGTGCTGGTCTTCACGATCGGTCGATCGATACCTTCTATGAGAACCCAATTGCCGGCGGGTACTCGATTTAGCTCGATCGAGTAACGAGCCTCGCTGATCCACAGCCTGCCCACTGTGAGAACGCGCGAATCCTCCTCGTCCGTACGCGAATACGCTTCGCCTAGCACGCGAACGCGTTGTCCCGCTTCTAACGTGCCAGACATTACTCTACCGAGTACTACGAACAAGGTGCAATCTTCAGTTGGATACATCTTTGTACTGTGGATCATCAGTCTTCCCTAGAAAATTACCTTCTTGTTGATTACCTTGTTGATTAATACTTATTAATGATGCTAAATTACATTAGTAAGATAAAATACAAATTGAAGTATACTAACGTCCGGATCGCAATTAACCATGTCCTGTGCAAGTGGTGAATCTATCGGACCAGTATAAACATGTTGTACTTTAGTGGAAGCGTGTGCTTGCGGACTAGGCACGTGAGTAACACACATATCAACCAACCCGCACATATCTCCTAAGAATCGCGTGCAGACGAGCCTCAGCAGCGGCCGTATATTCATCTTCATCTCCTCAGAAGTTAATCGTATGCCGAGTTCATCCAGAACTACTCGAAAACGGTACATACAATTAGAATTTCCAAAAATCAAAAGAAAATTATAAGTAGAACAATCGGAACTTACCATCGGGTAATGTTGTATCCACATCGCCAACGACTTGCGCAAATATTTTGTAAAGAGGCTCCAAAATGAACTCAATAAAACTTCGCTGTGCGGTGTTGTGTGGAGGTTTTTTGGTAAACTTTCGCGTTTTAGAATTAAAATAAATATCACCCCACAGCCGTTTGGCAAACTCGTTGAAATTGAGATCGGGATAAGTCTTAGCGTATAGCGCAGCGAATGATTTAAGCGTGAAACAAACATTGTATTCGGAACTGGCGAAACAAACGTTTCCGACAGCGGGAGAAACAAAAGCGGGATTTTCCGTATCCGAGTACATCGCTATCAGTCCGTTGATTTCTTCGATGATATGTCGCAATTTGTAATAAGCATCCAACGGCGGCAATTTCAATTCCAGAACCAAACGATCAATTTTGTTTATGCAAACCGTCAGAGCGAGCTTTTCCTGAAGCGCGTGCTTCAACAGACGCTCAGTGTTCAACATTACACCTTCCGCTGCATCAACAATAAGTATCGCACCATCCGACAGCCGAATTGCGGCAGTCGCCTCGTCAGAAAAATTTACGTGACCCGGTGTATCAAATATATTCAAAAGATAAGACTTAGATTTGACATCTTGAAGCAAGAGAGTAACAGGAGTAGCTTTCGTGGAAACGCCTCTTTGTTGCTCAGTAAACAACGTGTCTGTGTACCTGATAAGTATATTGATAAAAATTCTTCTTATTACACACCTCTGATTTAATAAATAATAAATAATACTAAATAATAAATAAAAACTAATATACTATTATATTTTATTTTTTCCTCATACCTAAGTGGTTTTTCATCAGTTATGCTGTGCAAATAAGGATGTGTTTGTTGAACTAAACAATCTACCAAAGTAGTTTTGCCATGATGAAGATGGCCCAGCAAGACTACATTTCTGATCAGATGAGGAGCATCCATCATATCTGCTAAAAATTCAATGCTGTATGTTGTTTCAGGCAACTGTTGCTGTTTTATTTGAAACTTTGCTTTCTTAGTGGGTGCTATTAGTGGTTTATCTAGCGGTTGGGCATCTTCTTCTTGCACAAGTGTTTCTACCTAAAGATATTTGTTTAAAAGAGTATTTTAATTGTCTGACAAATAATAGTGACATACAAGAAAAAATTATCTATTAATAATCTTTTAATTGTTCTCAGTTTTTTAAAACAATCTTTTATTACCTCAGGTCCATATACTTCCAATGCACTGGGATAATATCGTTTATCTTCGTGCAACACAACCGTCATGGATGATCCTTGTTCTGTCTGTTCTCGTGATTCATCTTTATCTTCTTCCATTTCTTCGTCAGAACGTTCTCTGTCCTCGGCGTCATCGCCAACATTACCGTATTCATTTTCATCTTCACTCTCTGAAGCCAAGTCAGGACCAATATAATTCCCAAACTCATCGTACAAATCAGCATCCATTTTGGTATTTTGATATATTTAATTTATAGAATTATTTCTCTTCTCTGGAAATATATTTTAACTACTTTAAAGTTTTGAACATTATTTTGATGTTAGTTTTACTAATGCTGACATTAAGAGCCTGAGCACAATAGAGAAAATATTAGAAATAAGAATTAGAAATAGAAGTTAAATGTATTATACAATGACAAAAAATAAAATATAAATACAGGAAGTATGTCATGGCTGCATATACAATCTATATTTATACACATTTATGATATATTTTATTTTTTCGCATTGTGCATTACATTTAACCTCTGTTTTTAATTCCTATTCCTAATATTTTCTCTATTGTGCTCAGGCCACAACATCGGAGATACGTTTACACACTCAAACGTAACCTAACCTAACCTAACCTATTCCAACAATAATAACTTTATGAATTTAAACAGTAATTACATTTAACTGATTTTCCTCATGTGACCGGGAGAATAGTCAAAGTAACAATTATTCTGAACTATATATTATCAATTTATCACTTTTAAACTATGATAAGAGATCACTCATTCACAAATCACAAGCAATCGACGCCGATCTAAAGGTCGAAGCACAGACATTTTTGCATAATGCATAACGCATAAGACATAAGAGAATTAACCAATCAAAGCTTTCTACAAGAAGAAGTAGAAATGAAAACGAAAAGCTGGATTGGTTCGAGAACCGGTCAGGTTAAGTTCTCATTCAAATCGGCTAAAATGTGAATCTACCGAGTCAAGATGTGAATTTAAGGCGATTTTTGGCGATCGTATGGTACATATACCAAAGTGTACCAAACTATAATTTGAAGTCACTCAAAACTTGGACATGGTTCTATTCCGCGCTTTGTCTACAGTGTGCGGTTCTAATCTGTTCACATCCTGGGGTATGTTCCACAATCCTACCTTGGCTGCGTTCCGAGTTACGCATATGCGCGCATTTATATATATTATACGTGACGTGTACTATAGATAAATGCGTAACTCGGAACGCAGCCCTTGATTACAATGCTACATTTCACGTCACGTGCACTATAGTTTTTGGTTACCAAAGTAGTTAAACAAATAGGAACTATGCTGTGTACATGTCAGTGGTTACGTTCAGAAAACTCAACGATTGAGAGATCATCACTTATGATAAGACTATTCTTCAAAATCTGCAACGGATCCAAAAGTATGATCCAATCATAAGTGATTATCTCTCAACCGTTGTGCAACTGTTGAGTTGTCTGAACGCACCCAGTGGTGAAAATCTACGAGATAGGTCACGTGGTCAATAATGGAACCGACGCGTGCGCGGACAAGTGCTCAAGTGACCGTCATGTCTTTACGGTTTTCCACTGCTGCCAGCATACGAACACGAGATTAGGAGTGGCGAATTGACAGATCATGTAAGGTAAGCGATTGTCAATAAGCATTCTTTCACTTGCGTGAAAACAATTACGTCTTGATCGCTGGTGTGTGAAAACTACTGTGAAACCGCAAACATCATTGAATCCCAACGTGTAATTTTCGATCTGTCGGTGCGTGCACGCAAATTAACACACGCGCTGTGTCGACAATGCCGCGTTTCGTCGCTATTTCTACTCTTAAAAACAAACAACGATGCACAGTGTACCTCTGTTGACAGATTTTATTAACTGATTGTTTTGCTTACACCGATGTGTTAAACAATGTGCTACGTGTTCTCTGGTTTACACGGATTCTTAAGAGGTGATTTTTTTTATTGACAGGAGTTTTTTCGAGTTGTCGAAATAACTCGTCTCCACGTGCGGTTGCACTGCCGAGGACGACATTACGTCAAAAAAAAAAGTGGCAGAATAGGCAAACACAGAAAAAATAGTGGAAGAAGAAGAAGCAGAAGACCCGGAATCAGGATGACACGTCCACCTAATAATAATAACCTTATGACCTTTAAGTTGGTGGTTGTTGGTGAAGGAGGTGTTGGCAAGAGCGCTCTCACGATACAGTTCTTTCAAAAACTGTTCGTTGCGGATTACGATCCCACAATTGAAGATAGTTACATACAACACACAGAAGTGGATAACCAGTGGTGTATCTTAGATGGTAAATATGTATTTATATAAATGTGTCACAAGATCATTTTATTTCATCGATGTGTTCTGGCTTATATGTGTGTTCTTGTATTTTTGTTTATAGTATTGGATACAGCTGGTCAAGAGGAATTTAGTGCCATGCGTGAACAATACATGCGAAAAGGAGACGGATTTCTCTTGGTGTATTCTGTGACGGATGTACAGTCTTATCAAAATATCGTCAATTTTTATACTCAAATTTTACGAGTAAAGGACAGAGATGTTTATCCCATGCTGTTGGTAGCCAATAAAGTCGATCTGGTGCATTTTCGGAAGGTCACAGAGGAGCAGGGAAAGGAATTAGCTCAACGTTTAGGCATACCTTATATCGAAACTTCAGCCAAAGATCCACCGTTAAATGTAGATGCTGCATTTCATGAAGTGAGATTGATTGCGCAAGATTATTGCTTTTCTATATAAATATAGAAGTATATATACGAGTAAATATATTTGTTCAAGGTTGTGCGCATCATTAGAAATCAGCCACCGGCTGAATTGGAGAAAAATCAAAGGAAACGGCGGCGTTCGAAAAAGTGTACCATTTTATAAATTCACAGAGAGGAGTGTATATATACATGTACGTACACTTTTGCAAAAAACAGACGACCATAACAATGGTGTCACAATTGCACAACTTTTGTTTCTGAGAGAAAACATCACTGATACATCATCATGCTTAAGATCTATTGTGAAAACAAGTATTCTTTTGTGCTCTCTTTCTCTCTCTTTGTCTTTCTCTCTTTCTCTCTCTCTCTTCCCCCTCTCTCTTTCTCTCTCAAACCATACGTATGATTGTTTTCTGTCTTCTGTTTCTTATTGTGTAGTGATAATGACGTAGCATTATGATTTAAAGTATCTTTTCTTCTTTATATACAATTCTGTACATAATCTGTGGAGCATAGATGTCATGATAGATGTGCCAAGTGAGCTCCAAAAGCTTAAATTAGATTTTTTTAATCAAACTTATAGAACGTTTACTTTGACTTAATATATAATCCGAAAAAAAAAAAACTAATTGTCAGAGATTATTGACTTTTATCATCTGAATGATACAAATCGAGACCATGTCTCTACTTGTGTGAACACATCACTTTTTTACCATAAAAATGGAATTGAGCGTTTTTTATTGCATAATATGTAATATTAAGAGAAGGTTTTTACTTCTCCATATAAGAAAGATTTTGGTCATAAAATGACTATAATAATTTCATATGGCGACACCATCGTATATATCGAGCTCACCTTTCAAATAATAATTGTTATAGCTTTAAGCATATTTATTTCTTTATCACTTCGTCCTCTCGTATATAGTCGAAGAGTTCTCACGTTACAACAAATTTTATCACAGTTTTCTATAAGATCGAACACACATTAAATGTGTGTTCTTATGTGATTTGAACCCTCCAGGTTTTTCTATGCTAAATAATATAATTGGGTTATTAATAACCTAATAATATATATTGGGTTATTTGGAAAGTTTGTAGCGTGTTTTTCAATAGTTGTGGCAATGTATCTGAGACATGTGCACGAGATATCGCGCAAATACATCGAACAGCACCGTATATAGGAGCATTTACAAAAGTTATGTGAGTCGATACAATAAGCCTTTTTTCATTAAAAAAAAAAAAAAAAAAGACGCTACGTGTAATTTCTGAACAATCCAATATTTACATGAGAATAAATTATTGATTCTTTTGCATAATTATAATAGAAGTGGAACAGTATTATATACATCATTTCAATTTTTATGCAATATAAAATAATGTAACAAAGAATTTTAATACATTGATATAAATCCAGTAGATATTAAAATCCTAAAATTGATAGAAAACTGGTTAATAATGACACAACGAAGTATGTGTCATAGACACTTGAATGAACTTATATGTATATATACATATGTATATATATATAGTATTTCTTTATTGTTGATTAGTTTATACATAGGATGTCTAAAACTTTTTGACACAGCCGGTGATAGATGAACAGAAAATATATGTATAATTTTTCAAAACTTGCAATAGTTATTAAAATATTGGCGCATATCGATGGCGCTATGATCTTCGGCTTTGTTACTGACCTTGCTTTTTTATCTCACGCATTGTATGTGCTTTGCGAATTACCATCATTTTTAGCGAATAAAACTTGTTCTAGTCTTTAAAAAGAGAGATCGATAAAGTGCATATTCGGCATTGCCGAATACATACTTGCAACAATATTTTCGAAATAATAGAAGATATTCAAAAATGTATTGATAACTTTTTATCGTCTCCAAACTTCAGGAATTCTTCCGATCCGGAATTCATCAAGTACTCGATAGATGGCAGAAGGTGATAGAAAGCAAGGGAAAATATTTTAAGATTGAACATTTTGTATTTTTAATAATAAAGATTTTTTAGTAAAAAAACGCCGAAAACATTTACACACCTCTAATAATACAAATCAATAAGTGCGTGTAAAACGATGAGCTGGACTCTGGCGTTTATTGGCTTTAATTACTTAACATCTTAATAACTAGTACGAATTTTGCGGAATTGATACGTGACTTTTCTGTTCAAATTGACACAATCTATCTTCACACTTCGGCTGCGTCAAAAAGTTTCAGACATCCTTTCTATATTATTGCTTATTTAATCCATTTTGTTGAAAAGAGAATCACACTTGTGCTTTTAGAAATTTAGTAGCTCTTGGTGCCTGATATAAAATTCAATTAGTATAAATGTAAATAAAGAACATGAGTTGTATTTAATTACATTGCTTTTGTTGTATTAATTTTTTAATATTTTATTTATATAAGTCTGAGATGTAAAAATTTATGATACTGAGTTTATAAGACTGTTATCAGTTTGTATGATAAAGCACAAAAGGTAAATACGGACAGGTTCTGTGACAAAGACAAAATTAGTCAAAATTAATTTTATATGTATAGAAGCATTTTATCTTCAGTGATAAGCTGTTTTACTTCCTCAATGCAATTATTATATTTGTCTATATTATGAACATATATATTTGCATATAGTATACATTATAACATACATAGGTATTACTTACACTATATTCTCTTCTCTTTTTAATGTAAAAAGAAATTGATTTGTATTTGACAATATAAAGACTGACGTGCGGTTTGATTATTTCAACTGGATACTTTAAATTAAAAGAAAATAAGCGTTTTTTAAATTTTATAATTTGTATTATTGTATTTAATTTTAATAATTTTTGTATTATTGTATTTAATATAGTTTAGACAATAAGAAAAATAATTTATCATATATTTTTTAAGTATATTTATAAGTTCTATTGAAGCTTTAAGTTTTCTCATACGCATATATCATAGGTTAAATCCTCTTTTATATTTGTAAAAGAGCACACACTATGTGAATGTACGTTTGTTGTTTATAAACATTAATTTCTTTATTTGCTTATTAATAATTAACAAACGGGAATAATATTCTCTTTAGATACTCAAAATAAATTGCAACAGTGTCGAAAAAATGACGTGCAAAAAAAAAAAACAAAAAAAAATGTAATACAAGTACAAAATTAACATTAAGCAAACGTCGAACGCAACACAGATAACAGAGATTAAATCGTCGCGTTTGCACACGCAATGATTGGTGGCGGCAGCCGATTAGCGCCAGTAAAAATGCAAGCGTTAACACTTGATACAAATTTGCGCTAGTATTAATATCTAGCGTTTGCCGATGCCGTGAAATCGAAAGTTGAAATATTTTTACTTCTAATGTTATCGGTGCCAATTCCAAGTGTGACATCTGAATAAGTTACATGCTTGCTGTCATTTGCTGTGTGTTTAAAATAAAGAGTTCTGAGACTGAGATTATAATATATTGTCCACATTACGCACCAGTAGCAACATTGCGTAAACACTGCGTAAGCTGGCCAGTTTTATGTGGCAACAATTTATGGACGCCGTTCAGTTGGCATCACTAATCATTGCAGCGTGCGTGTAAACGCTGCTTTAGACGCGAGTAAAAATAACATCGCCATTTTCACCGATATAATACTCGCAAAGTTGCGTGTCCTAGAAACAGGATCTGTTGAAGATTAAAAAACAAATTGGTTCTAAATTATTTTTTGTATAAAAAAAGGGGGAAAATATACCGAAACAGGTCCGGCCATTCTTAAATTTTTTATATATCAAACAAAAACCGAATTACAGTTGAACTACATCGACAATGACGCAAGAATGTTTTTATTATTTGTATTCAGCTATTCCAAAGAACGCGCAATTTTATTGTTTTGCTCGTACAGTTCGTCTGGCCATTCTTAAAAAGTAATATTTTTTTAACTTAAACCTGGAGCTTCTATAACAAGAATAGAACAATAAAATTGTGCATTCTGTTAATCGCGTCGTGCGGTCAACGCTGAACGTAAACAAGAAAAACACCACTCCGTTGTTGTCGATGAAGTTTACGGTTGTGCTATTTTTCTTTCCTTGATATGGCGCATACGAATAAATCATTAATCATCTTGTGCAAAAAAAAAAAAAAACAATCTGCGGAGTGCTTAATATTTTACTCGTGTTTAACGATACGAAACGATGACTAGATGTCGCTTAGACGAGGCGGAAATAGAAATGTCTCTCTCTACCGTAGACTGAACATTCGCAATCTAACAAATCCGCAAATAGATAAATGTCGATACTCAATATACAGATTATTATTATTATGATTATCAATTGATTTGCAAGAAATCCCGATTTTACGATTTTGCGCACAGGTTTTGCGTCTTACACACGCGCACACGTGTGTAATATATTTATGCTTATATTCGCGCACCGATATTTTCCCAACCACGCTGAGCACACTTCGATTAGTAAAGTTTTATGTGTTATCTCATATACGAATGTACAACTTAGTGCGTTACTTAATTTTTCTACTATTATGTGTGTGTCACAAATGTTTTGAAACTCCTTATAATGCGGTGGTAATATGCGAAGGAGTGCCATAAAATGATGCCACACGCGCCCTCAATATCGGGTGATATGTTTTATCGCAGCGTCATTATCATAATCTTCTGTATTCGTAACAAAAAAAAACATAAGAAAATGCATTAGTTCTCGAAATTAGATCAATTATCCGACGACTAATACGCGTCTAATGATAGATAAAATTCTTTTCTTTCAGTTATACAAACTTGATCTTCACAAATACGTAATATGTATATGTATATATATATATATATATATATCTCGGACAAAAATAGAATATTATATGTTTTGTAAATACATGCATCTATTCTGTGCATTATTTTCGAGTCAAAGAATTTTCACTCACACTTTTATACTCTCTCATTACATTTATATGTGTGCGCGAAATATTGCGATATCCAAAGCGGGGAAAAACAATTTGGTTTTATAACATGACGATGTTTGGTCGTTTTTCTTACACACACACACACACAGTGAAAATGACACAAAAAATAAATAAATAATAACGCTTAATATCAGATAAAGTTTATATCTGATAAAAGTTTTGAAAGAAACGCGACGAAATTGCGTCGTGAAGGAGTGCAACTTCCTTAAAATAAAAAAAATTCAAATACTCTCAGGGTTTAGAGTGTTCCTTGGATATTCATTGTAATATGATCCGTATAATAAAGGTAACGTCATTTTATATATATCGCCGTCCGTGAGAGAGAGTAATCGTATATTAAAAAGACCGAGAATGTATAAACAGGGAGCGAATTGTGTGTATGTTTCGAGCGTGGGCGGATGAGAGAAACTCCCACTTTTACACGCACAAGCGAGGCTAAAAATGGAAATTTGAAAGCGCAGGTTACGCGCGGTAACAATAGGAACGCAATTTGAACATATTTGAAACGTGTACGCGGACACTATAAATAGGGGTAACGTGTGTGTGTGCATCACATCGATAAGAACACAAACTATATATGCGAATTGCTGTACATATACAGTCGACCATCGGTAGTGAGGTGTGCGAAAAGTCGATTTCGACAAACAAAAATCATTAATACGATCATATTCGGAGTGAAAGAAAAAAACAAAAACCAAAAAAAAAAAAGAAATCGATGACACGATCGCGAAGCCTGTTATAGATGTTAAAGAATTAAGAGCATTATCTTATAACGACATGTGCATATGTAGTCAATATATTGTATTGAACCAGTGTGTGATATATTGAAAATAGGAAAAAGATTATTATTACCGCGAATGCGAAGAGAGATTTATATATGAATGCAGAAGGTTGTGAGAATCCATCGAAAAGGTCAGCGTCGTGAGAGAAAAACAACGCGCCTGACTCTCCATACATATATATATATATATATATATATATGTATGTATGTATATTTCAATAATAATATATCGAGAGAAACATAGTTTTTCTTAAAAGAGCTCTTTATTGCCATTCGCCCACTGTTTATCTGCTACCACTACAATTCGTCACGCCACGTGCGAACGTACTCTATCGCGTAAAATCTTTGCGAGGGAAAAAAAAAACAAAACTCTGTCACCGAATGACACGCACGCGAGAACAATGAGCTGTGCACGAGCGATCGGTAGAGAATGAGTGAGAATGAGAAAGAGAGAGAAACATCGAGATCGCGAATAATATTTGTAACCGCGAAAGGTGCAAAAAAATTACACGCACGCACACACACACTCACGTATGTGTATTTATGTACATAACAAAGAAAACGAGAATTCTGTTCTTCTTTTGTTATTTGAAAATTTTTCCACACAGCACACTGTATCTTATAAAGAATATCCCGTGGATATCTATTGAGTATTGAATATCCGGATAATGTTTAGTGGATATCTATTGAATCCCTGTGCTGTACGAGGTAATTGCGTGACGGTGGATATAACGTTTATGTATGTGTGTATACATGTATATTATATATATACATTATATGTACACATACTACATATTTGCCAGCAAAATACATTTGTATTATATGTTGTATATGCGTGCGTAATCGTGTATAAATGTATAATATATGTAGGCTGCACGTATACGCGTACAATACGCTCTACGTTAGACGACGAATATGTAAATGCACGCAAATATCTTTCGACGAATCGCGGATTGTGACGATCTTTGATGAGCGTAAATGTGGTAAGGCGCGCGTAATTATGTGAGTGTCGTGTCAAACTAACTGTGCCAGTCTGTGTGTACGTATCGCAAAGGACATTGATAATAAAAAATAATTCGTGTTTACAACAAAAATTCTCTCGCACGTTTTTGCTTGTGTTTCATTTCCCTCGTATATATTTTTCCCTCTCGGTTTCCTTAAGATAGATTCTAGAATTATCTCTCTCGGAGATGCTATAGTTTGCATTTTGAATATTTAGAATCTTCTTCCACCCACTGATGTGTAACACGTGTTCGATTAATTTGTTATCGGGAGTTACAAAACAACACGCTCGAGTAACTCCCGTGAAAATTCGAGCGCGTTTGACGCGCGCGCGCACTTAGAGTATCCGTCAGTGTTCGATAAACACTGGAGATCACTCGACCGCGATACGAGCAGCAAGCGGTGCGGCGGTACGTGTGTACGTGCGTACCTATGCAATTGACCAATAAACGCTGCCGCGCCATTAGACAAAAGCACCCCGCTAAGTACGGGGAGCGCTGTGCACATGACGACGTGTCGTTTTCGAGAGCCACGTGCGAGTAACTGCGAACGTCACCGCCGGCGTGTGTGGAAGTCGACACCCCGCGCAACACATCGCGACTACACGGTTCTTGAAATCGGAGATCCTGCTCTCAAAAAGACAACTAATCAGTTTTACATACAGTTTATAAAGAGAACTACTCGAAGATGATCACGAGCAATTTTTTTAACTACCGGGGGTGACATTTTTTTTAAGAGTTCCGAGCAGTTCAGATTGGAGAGCTTCGATTTTGAAGAGGATATAAGAGTTCTTTTTTATATAAAAGGAGCACATGCATGTAAAAAATATTCAAAAAAAGCTATCGCGTTAAATAACTCGTGTATCAAAAGTTTACGAGAAAAAAAGCTGTATGCATAATTGTGTTTAATATTCTTAATTTTAATATTATTTTATTAAATTACACACATGTGCAAATGAGCACGGGAGATTCGAGAACCACTGCTGCAGCAAAATCAAGCTGGAATATCGAGCGTCAATATAGATTCTACACGTGTTCTTGAGTGCAATAAAGCACGTCTGTCCAT